TGCAGGCTGGGTGCCCTGGAGACATAGCAGCCCCTCCTGCGCCCCCAGTCTTTTCTGTGGTTGTGGGAAAGCTAGTTTGCAAGCTGATGCACCCTCTTCCAGGGAGGCTTCCCAGATGTGACCTGCCCACGGGGCCAAGAGGACATGGTGCAGGGGGGAATGTGGGGTGTGCAGCCCAGACCTCTGAGGGCACTGCGGCCTCCTTCTTGGAGACACGGGTCTGCTGCAGTGCCGGCTGTGGGGAGCAGGAGCTGGGCCCTCCTGGCCAGGGCTGTCCTCAGTTCTCACCTTGCCAAGCGGGGTCAGCACCCCTTTTCACAGCTGGGGAGCCGGAGGTTGGGCCTGGGGTCTCGCTTTGGGGAGGAGGGCCAGAGAGGCAGAGCTACAGCTCCTCTCCAGGCGGCCTGGGCCCACTCCGGCCCCCCGCCCCTGAGTCCTGCTCCGGGTCTTGCCTCCCGGTGTTGGGGGTACAGCCATGGGGAGAGTCAGGAAGAGCTGGCACCCTGCGCTCCAGCAGAGGGGGCACCCCGAGGCCCCCAGTGGTGGCTGGCGCTGCTGGCTGGGCCTCAGCTGTGGACAGCAGGCCCTAGCGGTGCATGTGGGGTGGGCGGGGCCGGAGGGCGGCAGGAGGGGCTCTGCCCGCTGTCGCCGGGAGCTGGGTACCCCCAGCTTGTCGCTCTCCTGGTTCCCGTGGCCGCCATAGGGGCCACTCATCCCAGGGTGGGCCAGGGCACCCTGTCTGCCTCCCTCCCCACTGCCCTATCTCTCCGAGACCCCAGGCGAGCCCTGGGGGTCAGTGACTCCCACGCTGACCCCCTCCGGGCTCCCGCGTCCCCCTCCGGGAGCTCCGGGAGCCTGTCCGTTCTCCCTGCAGCCCGCCCGCCAGCTCCCCACCGCGTCCGCCCCTTCCCCGCAGCCCAGCTGGGCCTCCTTCCCAAATGCTGGCCCGACACCACCTGTGCTGCCGTGGGCTCACCTGACTCGCGCCCCCAGGGACAAGGGCACTGCCCCCCAGACACCCCACTCCCACCCCAGGCCCGGCCACTCAGCTCTCCCGCCCACCCCATCTCTGCTCTTCCCGCAGCCTCCGAGGTCCGACTCACAGACCCCTGCTCATCCTCCAGACCCAAGTTCAAGGTCACCTGCTGAGTGTCCCTGAACAGGGGGCGGGGCTGGCCCTGTGGGGTGTCTCCCTGGTCTAAGGCGCCCAGGCGGGCACAGACACACCCAGGAAGGTGCTGCTGGGGGTGGGGGGTGGGGGCGGGCCAGGAGGGGCTGGACCCGCGCCAGGATGGTCAGGAGGGTGGGGGCCCTGCTACCCGCCGCTCCGTGCCAGCCCCCCACCGGGGCGGCCGCCCACACCCTGCGCCACCCCCGTGCTCCTGGCTCAGCCCTCCCGCTGCTGCGGCACGGGTGAGTGAAGGCTGGCACCCTGGCCCCCGCGGACCCTCCGTGAGCTGCCCTGGGGGGGCCTGCACTGCACCCAGGGAGTCGTGGGGCACGGGTGCTGCCCAGCCTTCCGCCCCCTCCGGAGCCCCCCGGCTGGGCCCCGCCCCTCCTCTAAGACCAGCTGGCTGCGGGTGCGTGCAGTCCCCCAGCCTGGCAGCTGGGCCGAGTGGCCTCTGGGTCCTTCCACACTGTCCCTGCACGCGTGGGCTCTGCGGTCACTCGAGGCACCGGCTGCTCTGTGGCGTCCACCGGGACGAACGAAAGCCTGGGGAAGGGAAGTCCTTTCAGGGGACCGGACGCCTTGCTGGTCACGGGCACACGGGTTGACCTCCCAGGTCCCCAGGACTCCCGCCCGTGGTGTCCAGGGGACAATGGTCAGGAGGGTGTCCTGAGGGTCTCTAGAGGGAAAGGCCCTCCACGTCGGCCTGGCCCAGCCTGGCCATTCTCCCTCAGGCCCCAGGCCCCCAGCTAAGGCCCTGGTCCTTCCTGGGACTCTGAGCTGAGCTTTAGGCTCTGGGAGACGGGCAGAAGGTGTTGCGGGGCGGGGGGGGGGCGGGGGGGCGGGGGGGGGGCGGGGGGGCGGGGGCAGGAGCTGCCTGCAGGGGGCAGAGCTGAGACAGGGCCCAGGCTTGACGCGCCCTCTGGAGCTGCCAGGCAGGCCGGGAGGACGGTGGTCAGGGTGGCGGGGAGACCAGAGCAGGCCCGGCACCGCCGGCGCCTTGGTGGAGACTGGGGGGCTGTGGAGGAAGGGGGGGAGGGGCCCCCGAGGTGGTGGACGTGGCCAGCGGGGGCAGCCGCTGGACTTGGGGACCCCTGCTGAGAACGGGGACCCGCAGCTGGCTCACGGGGGCCTGCACACGCTCGTGCGCCTGGAGGGGCGAGGCTGTTCAGTGGAGCGTGACCGGGCTGGGGAGCGGAGCCCTGCTCCGCGGCCCCTGGGGCTGAGCCCTGGGCGCGCCCGGAGCCAGAGCAGACGCAGGAAGGAGATAATTGCGTTTGTGCAGGAACACCAAATCCCTCGCAGCTGCACGCAGGCCGCGCCAGGGCCGCGGCGGCCGCGCCAGCATCCTGACAGCTCCGCTTGGCGTGCCAAGGGGTCTGGGCCGCCGGCCGGGGGCGCCTTCCCAGGCCAGAGGCCCCCACCCCACCCCAGGAGAGCCGCCCCCCTCTCAGTTCCCAGAACGCGGCCCAGCTGCGGAACAGCAAGGGGGTGAGGTCATGGGAGGGGCCCCAGCCCGTGACTCACATCCTGGGGCAGAGGGAGGGGGGCCGGAGGGAAGGGGCCCGCGCCCCGGGTCAGGGCCCGGGGCAGCGCGGCCTCTCCCCCGGCAGGGGCTGTGGGGAGCCCCCCGAGCCCCTACCCCACGTCCCCCACTCTGTCCCCTGCCCGAGGGCTGGGGAGTCACGTGCAGACCGCCGGGAGCAGGCCTGACCTTCAGAGGGGCCTCTTCTCAGGAGCGCAGTTCTCAGAAAACATGCCTTGGCCTCGGGCCAGTGCCGTTGTCAAGACGATGGCGGGAAACAGTAAACACGCGCTGGGGCACCCTGGCTGGGCCGGGGGGCCGGGCCGGGCCTGCCACCTGGCCCTCACCTGGTTCCCAGGCCTGGGTCTGCCACATGCGGACCCCCAGTGTGGGGCGCTGGGACCCGCGTGTGACTGTGGGCCTGTGCCCGTGTGGGCCCGCGGGGCCGGCTCAGGGGAAGGCCTGTGCACCCATGTGTGCACGTGTGGTGTGTGTGTGGCAGGGAGGCCCATTGTGCTGGCGGGCCTGGGACCAGGGTTGGGCACAGGCGGCATGGGGCCTGGCGGCCGGGACACACGGCCTGACTGGGTGAGCAGTCCGCGTGGTCTCTGCGCTCAGCTGTGCCGGCGAAGGGTCCCCGAGGCTCGGGGAGGGGGCTGGAGTTGCAGCCTGAGAGAGGCCCCACCTGGGTGCACTCACCCCCCACCGGGACCCGCGCACACGCACTCAGCCCCACACGAACACGCCGTGGGCGTGTGTGCACGCAGCAGAGAGGGGGCCCGTGGCTGGCCTCGCCCCTCCGAGAAGCTCCCCGCCCCGGGTGCCTCAAGGAGACGGCTGTGGACACCTCTCCGCCCCACGGCAGGGGGACTGGTTCCACTGCCCGGCCCTGCTCGCCTCCCACCGTTGGCCTGGGGGGCTGTGGGTGCTCACGGGAGGGAGGGCCCCCAGACCCCGGGTCCCCCATCCTCAGGATCACCCAGGCTCTTCCCCCCTAGACAGGATACGGCCCCCAGCCCCCGCCGAGGGCCTGGAGCGGGAGGCTGGCTCCATCGGCCGTGTGATGGGGCCAGGTGTGGGGGATTAGGGGCTCCCTGGAGCTTGGGGGGGGAGTCAGAGGCACTTCTGAGGCGCGGGGGTGGGCGGGCGGGGGGCGCCGAGGTCTGAGCGGGAGGCTGGGTTTGCACGGCTGGGGTCCCCTGCGGCTGCCGCGGGGGGGAGTGGGCCTGGAGCTGGGGCTGTGGAGGGGCCTGGCTTTTGTCTAGGAAGCTCCGGGGAGACCTAGGAGAGATTAGATCATGTGTTGGCAGGCCTGCCGAGACCACAGAGCCGGCCCACCCTGGCCAGGGGACGGGGCTCTGAAGGAGCGGGCTGTGGGGTCAGGCGGGGGACACAGCAGGAAGGCGCTGAGACCCCGGCTCAGGAGACCCGGGACCCTCTTCTCGGGCTTCGGGGGAGCCGGGGCAGGCAGGCTGGCCAGGGCCTGCGGTGCACGCTAGGTGCTAGCAACTCGAGAGCTGCTGGGCCAGGGCCGGGGTGGCCAGGCCCCGGGACCCGGGCTCAGGCCTCCTTGTGTAGCCTGGGTGAGGGACCTTGGGAACGCTGGGGGTCAGCAGGCCTGTGGGAGGAAGCTCCCCGGGGCCCGGATCCACGTGGGCCTCAGTTTCTCGTGGACAGCATGGTCTGGAGTGAGCCTGCATGGGGTTCTGGTGTGGAGGGTGGCTCTGGGGGGTCTGAGGGCTCAGGCCCTGGCTGAAGGCAGCCCCTCCCGGGTCCTTTAATAGGGCCTCCATCTCCCAATGCCTTTTACTCTCGTTGGGGTGGGGGGCAGGCAGGACTGATCGCCCCCTGCCCAAGACGGTCTCCTGAGGGGCTGGGCTGCCTCTGGCCTGACCCCTGCCCAGGCTACCAGTGCCTGACAGTCACGTGACTCAGAGAGAAGGAGGGACAGCAGCTCTCCGCACCTCGGCCGGAGGTGAGGTGCCCGCCAGGCCTTGCCTGGAGCCAGAGCTACGCTGGCCAGTGTCCAGCTGCGATGAGGGCCAGGGAGCCAGGCTGCTGGCAGGGGCGGAGGGTCTGGCCCCATCCCTGGGGCTCCCCAGGCCCATCTGACTGTGAGCCCCTCGTCACCAGGAGGCACGTGGGCATTCAGAGGCCAGCTCCACTGGCCGAAGGCACCTTCCTGACCCTCTCTCCTGGTCTCTGCTTTAGAAACGGGGAAACTGAGGCCTCGAGGGTCTCCAGCTGGCCCGCTGGGGTGGGAGGCGGGGGCGTGGGCCCGGAAGTGACCCCTTCTCATGCCCCCAGGCTCGCCACTCAGCGGAGCGTGGAGGATGAGGAGGAGGCCGCCCGCGAGCGGCGCCGGCAGGGCAGGGAGCGGCAGCTTCGGGCTCGAGACGAAGATGAAGGAAGCCCGTCCCCGGAGCAGTCGGAGCAGGAGAAGCTGTGAGCCCCCCTCGCCGGCTCACCCGTCCCGCACCACACGGCCGGGCAGAGGGGGCCCTGAGCTGGAGACCCCAGAGCAGAGGGGATGAGGAGGCAGGGGCAGGGCCTTCCCGGAGCCCGGGCACGGTGGGGACGTCCGTGGGGTGAGGGTCACTGCAGCGCTGGGGGCCAGGGAGCCCTGCTGGACCCCCTCCAGCCCCTCCTGGAGGGGCCCCCTCCCCTGCAGCCTCCCGGGGCCCCGACTCAGCCCGTCCCCCTGCACAGTCCCCCCGCTTGGACCGATTCTGAGCGCAGCTGTGGGGCCCTGGGCCCCAAGCCCCCGGCCCCACTCCTCAGAGCCAGTGACTCACGGAGGCCACGTCCAACTTGGCGGCCGAGGCCGGCTCGTCCCCTCCCGGGGCCCGGGAGGCCGCTGTGGCTGGGCTGGGCTGTTTTTCCAATAATGGCCCCCCTCCTCCCGGCCCTGTTTTGTTCCATTTTCTCTGAGTCAGCAGCTCTGGGTGGGGTGGGGTGCTGTAGCGGTCAAGGCCTTTCGAGCCAGGTCCCCATCCTAGCAGAGACCACCGTGGCCGGGGCCCGGCCTGAAGCGGGGCGCAGGGTGCGGGGCTCACCCCACTGCCCAGGGAAGGAGCCTGGTGCCGGCCCCTGCCGGCTCAGCTGAGGGAGCAGAGGGGAGCTCCTCACCCACACTTGGGGACCCCAGACTGAGGGGGGAGGCCTGGCCCAGCACTTGGGGAGCCCCAGACTGAGGGAGGATGCCCAGCTCAGCATTTGGGGAGCCCCAGACTGAGGGGGGAGGCCCGGCCCAGCATTTGGGGAGCCCCAGACGGAGGGGGAAGGCCCAGCTCAGCACTTGGGGAGCCCCAGATGGAGGGGGGAGGCCCAGCTCAGCACTTGGGGAGCCCCAGACTGAGGGGGAGGCCCGGCCCAGCACTTGAGGAGCCCCAGACGGAGGGAGAAGGCTCAGCCCAGCACTTGGGGAGCCCCAGACTAATAGGGGAGGCTCGGCCCAGCACTTGGGGAGTGCCAGACTAATGGGGGAGGCTCGGCCCAGCACTTGGGGAGCCCCAGACGGAGGGGGGAGGCCCGGCCCAGCACTTGGGGGGCCCCAGACTGAGGGGGGGCTCAGCCCAGCACTTGGGGAGCGCCAGACTAATGGCGGAGGCCCAGCCCAGCACTTGGGGAGCTCCAGACTGAGGGGGGAGGCCCAGCCCAGCACTTGGGGAGCGCCAGACTAATGGGGGAGGCTCAGCCCAGCACTTGGGGAGCTCTAGACTGAGGGAGGATGCCCAGCTCAGCATTTGGGGAGCCCCAGACTGAGGGGGGAGGCCCAGCCCAGCACTTGGGGAGCGCCAGACTAATGGGGGAGGCTCAGCCCAGCACTTGGGGAGCTCCAGACTGAGGGGGGAGGCCCGGCTCAGCACTTGGGGGGCCCCAGACTGAGGGGGAGGCTCAGCCCAGCACTTGGGGAGCACCAGACTAATGGGGGAGGCTCAGCCCAGCACTTGGGGAGCTCCAGACTGAGGGGGGAGGCCCGGCCCAGCACTTGGGGGGCCCCAGACTAATGGGGGAGGCTCAGCCCAGCACTTGGGGAGCTCCAGACTGAGGGGGAGGCCCGGCCCAGCACTTGGGGGGCCCCAGACTGAGGGGGAAGGCCTGGCCCAGCACTTGGGGGGCCCCAGACTGAGGGGGAGGCTCAGCCCAGCACTTGGGGAGCCCCAGACTGAGGGGGGAGGCCCGGCCCAGCACTTGGGGGGCCCCAGACTGAGGGGGAGGCTCAGCACAGCCCTCGGGGAGTGCCAGGCTAATGGGGGAGGCTCGGCCCAGCTCTTGGGGAGCCCCAGACAGAGGGGGGAGGCCCAGTCCAGCACTTGGGGAGCCCCAGACTAATGAGGGAGGCTCAGCCCAGCACTTGGGGAGCCCTAGACTGAGGAGAAAGATCCAGCTCAGAAGCTGGGAAGGCCTAGACTGAGGGGGAGGAACACCCCAGCACTTGGGGAGCCCCAGACTGATGGGGGAGACCCGGCCCAGCTGTGGAGTGCTGCGTCTGTGCAGACCGGGGTCTCCTATGCTTGGCGCCCAGGGTCTGAGAGCCCCCGGCCCCACCTCCAGCCTGGCCCTGAGACCCTGCCTGCTCTTCCAGCCGCAGCCCGCAGCCCGCAGAGGCCCCTGAACTGGACGAGGATGAGGGCTTTGGCGACTGGTCCCAGAAGCCGGAGCAGCAGCGGCAGCAGCACTGGGGTGCTGGGGAGACCACGGATGCGGGGGACCCCCCTGGGGGCGAGAGTCCGGCAGGGACGCAGGAGGACGACAGGCAAGTGGAGGTCACAGCCTGGGGGTGGCGGGCTCCCTCCAGCCCCCTAACCCGTGTCCGGGCCGCGCCCTCTGCGCCCCTCCCCAGAGCCCCCCAAAACGCCCCTGCGGCCGTGGGGGCAGGAGGAGGAAGAGAACGAGACGGGGGCGGCGGGCGGGGCTCGCTCCAGGCTCCCAGGGCCCCGGCCCGTCCAGACCAGCTGCGGCCCGCTCAGCACGTGTGCAGCCCGCTGACGTCAGGGAGGCCCCGCGCCCCCGGGCCCCTTCCTCCCTGGGGGCGGCGTGCGCTGTTCCCACGGAGGGGAGCAGGTATTTCCAGATGTGCGGCCTCGAGGCGGCCTGGGGGACAAGCTTTCCAGATGCGCAGACGCTGAGCTGGGGCTGCTGGGGGGCGGGGGCCTCGCCCCCACCCGCCTCAGGGGGCTCTCAGCCGAGCTCCAGGCCCTCGGCTGTGGTCAGGGCCCAGATGGGCTCGGGAGCTCTGTGCCTGGGGCCCTGGCCCCCTCCCCAGGCCATCTCCGGCCCCCCCACCCCGAGGCCCCTAATCAGCCCAAGCTCTCACCAAGACCCCCCCCCGTCACTCCGTCAACTCTGGTCTGCGGCAAGCAGCCCCCACACCCAGAGCCGGCCGGGCCCCAGTCCCGCTGTGGCCAGGGCCCCCTCCAGGCCTCAGCTCCCCGCGGTGTCTGGGGGCCAGGCGCGCCCTGGTCGCTGAGCTGGGGCCGGGGGCAGCAGGGAGGCCCCTCTGCTCTGGTCGGAGTGGCCGCTGCTCCCTTTGTCCCCGGCGGCCTGGCCGCCAGCAGGGGGCACTGTGGCTCTTCCGCGGACCCTCCCGGGCGCCGGGCCTCCCTGCCCCCCGCACCTGCCTGGCCGCCCGCGGCCGGGGCTGAATGGGCCTCTGTGAGGCTGCCGCTGGCTCCGACCCCGGCACACCTTGGGTGGTGGGTCTGGGTCTTGGCTGGCACGAACACCAAGGGGCCTGAAATCATGGAAAATGCGAGAATTTCCCATCTTCTTCTCCAGGTTCAGTCCCGCTCAAATGCAGGCCTGCACGGGCTGCCAGCGGCCGGCCTCCCCCATTCCCCAGCCAGCCGTGTCCGGCCCGCTTCTCTGGGCTGTGGTCCCGGCTGTGACCCCAGTTCTTGCCTTGTCTCCCACTGCACCAGCTCCCCAAAACCCCCCCTCAGCCCCTTCCTCAGGCCTACTGGACGCCCAGGCCTGTCGCCCCCACACAGATCAGGCAGGAGCAGGGGCCCTGCCTAGGCCGACCAGGCGGACGCTGACAAGCAGGACGTGGGCCCGGCCTGGGGCCTGGGAGTAGCCTCAGTGAGCCAGTGGCCCTCTGTCCACAGGGCAGTGGGCACTCGTCACCATGGGGCAGACGCTGAGGTCCTTGGCCTCACTTCCCCAAAGATGCTGGGGTCTTGGGATTCCTTGGCACTCAGCTGGTCTGAGGGCCCCAACTTACAGACGGGGAAACCAAGGCTCAGACCTGGGGAGGCCCTCAAAGCAAACCATCAGATGACCTTTGACTGATCGGATTGCCTCCCCCACAACCACAGGCCCCACCAGCGCATCTCTGGGAGCCAGGGTGCTGACGAGCTGAGCCCAGCTGAGGTCTGTCTGGAGGAGCTGCATCTGAGCCCTGACTTGGAGCCCCAGGAGGGGCTGGCCCCAGAGGTCCCAGAGCCCAGCGGGCCCGAGGAGCCCGTGCAGGGCAGCCCAGGGCTGGCGGAGACTGAGGAGGCAGAGGCACAGGTGTGGGGGCTCCCCACAGGTCTGGGTAGCACTCCAGCCCTGGGCTGGCTCTTTCTCTGCTGCCTGCAGGCCCTGTGGGCCTCATGGAACCTGCAGACAGTAGCCCCTGCAGCCCCAGAGGGCGGTGAGGCTGGTGACCGTGGGATGGAACAGCATGTTCCCAGACTCACCAGCTGCGACAGACAATTCAGAACCAGAGCACGTCAGGCGGGAGAGGACCCGAGGAGGCCCAGGGAGGGGCAGCGTCTGCTGGGGCCCTGGTGGGGGGGCAGGAGGGGGGACGAGGGGACAGTGGTCCAACCCTAACCCCAGACATTCTGCTCCCAGCACCAGGGCTGCCGACAGCCCAGGACACCCAGCCCCCTGGTCTTGGAGGGGACCGAAGTGGGCTCGCCTCCCCTGAGCCCTAGCACCAAAGTAGGTTCCGCCCCACGCCTGTCCTCTCTCCTGCATGGGCTGCTGCCTCTGTGCCATGTGGCGCTCGGCAGGGCCTGGGATGGGCATGAGCTGGGCCGTGGGACAGGGCGGGTGGGGCATGGGGAGCGGCTGTGGGTCAGGGGCTCTGGGCCTCGCTCCGGCGTTCGAGGCTCCATCTCCTCCTGCCCTCCACAGCTCAGCGACAGAACTGAGTCCCTGAACCGCTCCATTAAGAAGAGGTATGTCTGGCTGTTTCCCAGGCAGGACCCAGGGTTCTCCAGGGGAAGCAGTACCCAGGGTTCTCCAGGGGAAGGAGGACCCAAGTTCTCCAGGGGAGGCAAGACCCAGGTTCTCCAGGGGAAGCAGGACCCAGGTTCTCCAGGGGAGGCAGGACCCAGGTTCTCCAGGGGAAGCAGGACCCAGGTTCTCCAGGGGAGGCAGGACCCAGGTTCTCCAGGGGAAGCAGGACCAAGGGTTCTCCAGGGGAAGCAGGACCCAGGTTCTCCAGGGGAAGCAGGACCCAGGTTCTCCAGGGGAAGCAGGGCCCAGGGTTCTCCAGGGGAAGCAGGACCCAGGGTTCTCCAGGGGAGGCAGGGCCCAGGTTCTCCAGGGGAAGCAGGACCCAGGTTCTCCAGGGGAGGCAGGACCCAGGGTTCTCCAGGGGAAGCAGGACCCAGGGTTCTCCAGGGGAAGCAGGACCCAGGTTCTCCAGGGGAAGCAGGACCAAGGGTTCTCCAGGGGAAGCAGGACCCAGGTTCTCCAGGGGAAGCAGGACCCAGGTTCTCCAGGGGAAGCAGGGCCCAGGGTTCTCCAGGGGAAGCAGGACCCAGGGTTCTCCAGGGGAGGCAGGGCCCAGGTTCTCCAGGGGAGGCAGGACCCAGGTTCTCCAGGGGAGGCAGGACCCAGGTTCTCCAGGGGAGGCAGGACCCAGGTTCTCCAGGGGAAGCAGGACCCAGGGTTCTCCAGGGGAAGGCAGGACCCAGGGTTCTCCAGGGGAAGGCAGGAACCCATGGTTCTCCAGGGGAAGCAGGACCCAGGTTCTCCAGGGGAGGCAGGACCCAGGGTTCTCCAGGGGAGGCAGGGCCCAGGGTTCTCCAGGGGAAGGCAGGACCCAGGTTCTCCAGGGGAAGCAGGACCCAGGGTTCTCCAGGGGAGGCAGGGCCCAGGTTCTCCAGGGGAGGCAGGACCCAGGTTCTCCAGGGGAGGCAGGGCCCAGGTTCTCCAGGGGAGGCAGGACCCAGGTTCTCCAGGGGAAGCAGGACCCAGGGTTCTCCAGGGGAAGGCAGGACCCAGGGTTCTCCAGGGGAAGGCAGGACCCAGGGTTCTCCAGGGGAAGGCAGGACCCAGGGTTCTCCAGGGGAAGGCAGGAACCCATGGTTCTCCAGGGGAAGCAGGACCCAGGTTCTCCAGGGGAGGCAGGACCCAGGGTTCTCCAGGGGAGGCAGGGCCCAGGGTTCTCCAGGGGAAGGCAGGACCCAGGTTCTCCAGGGGAAGCAGGACCCAGGGTTCTCCAGGGGAGGCAGGACCAAGGGTTCTCCAGGGGAAGCAGGACCCAGGGTTCTCCAGGGGAGGCAGGGCCCAGGGTTCTCCAGGGGAAGGCAGGACCCAGGTTCTCCAGGGGAAGCAGGACCCAGGGTTCTCCAGGGGAAGCAGGACCAAGGGTTCTCCAGGGGAAGCAGGACCCAGGGTTCTCCAGGGGAGGCAGGACCAAGGGTTCTCCAGGGGAAGGCTGAAGAGGGGGCCCAGGAGGTGGAGATCTGGGGCCCGAGAGAGCTGTGGCAGGTGCTCAGGGTGAGGCACAGAAGCTGAGGGCAGGGCCCTGGGCCAAGACCCTTCTCTCCCCAGTAACAGTGTGAAGAGGTCCCAGCCGGCCCTGCCCATCTCCAAGATTGATGAGAGGCTGGAGCAGTACACCCAGGCTGTTGAGGTGGGTACAGGTGCCCTCACTTTCTGCTGGGTGCTTTCTCCCTTCGTGTGCCCTTTCCTCATCCAACCAGTGTTCCTCCACTGATGTACAGCCCTCAGCCAACTAACACCCTTTCATTCAACTAACCTTCTATTCGACCAACACTACTCCACCCTTCCACATTCTTCCATCTAGCCCTTTATCCATCTGACCAAGGTTCCTCCATCGATCCTACCCCCACCCCCACATCCAACTAGCACATTGTTTATTCAGCTCTCTTCCATCCAATCTACACCACTCCTTGCAGTCAACACCCCTTTATCCAACCAATGACCCTCCAGCCAACCAATACCACTCTGTCCAGCCAACATCCTTCATTGCAACCAACACTTCTCTATTCAAGCGATGGCCTTCCATCCAAGCAACACTTCGTTTAACCAATGTTCCTCTATCCAACCAACACCTCTCCATCCAACCAATGTCCCTCCTCTAATTCCACATCCCTCTATCCAACTAACACCCTTTTATCCAACTAACCCTTCCATACAATCTGCACCCCTCCATCCAGCCAATACCCTTCTAACCAGTATCCCTCCATTCAGCCAGTGTCTTTCCACACAATATTTCTTTGTTCAATGTATGTTCCTCTATGCAACCAACACCATTCACCCCGACCCACACCTCCATACAACCAGCTACCTTTCACCCAACTAACTCCCGTCCACGCAACCGTCACTCCATCCAAGGCCCTTCCGTTCGAGCCCTGCTCCTCCGACCCCGCGCCCGAGCAGAGCGAGGATGGCCCTGTCTCCTCTGCAGACCGCGGGCCGGGCCCCCAGGCTCACCCGCCAGCCCTCCATCGAGCTGCCCAGCATGGCTGTGGCGAGCACTAAGAGCCGCTGGGAGACAGGAGAGGTGCAGGCTCAGTCGGCCGCCAAGTCCGCCCCCTGCAAGGTAGGCGTCCCTCTTGGGGCGGGGCCGGGCCCCCTAGGCACAGCAAGCACAGGCCGGCTGGGCTGAAGTGTGGTCGCCGGGCTGGTCCCTGGGGAGGGCTGGGGGGCGGCTTCCGGGCCTCATCCGTGGACGCTCCCCACAAGGAGGCACGTGGGCCGGCCCTGGGGCCCTGGACTTGCGGGGCCGGCGGCAGCCGTGCCCGGGGCTCCCGGCTCCGCCGGCGGGGGCCCACTGTGACGCGGCTTCCCTCTGCCCTCAGGATATTGTGGCCGGAGACATGAGCAGGCGGGATCTCTGGGAGCAGAAGGGAGGCCCCAAGACCTCGTCCACGGTCAAGGTGCCTCTGAACGCGGCTGACGCAGGGGGCGGGTCCAGCAGGTGGGCTGGGAGCGCGGCTGTCCTCGGCGCCCCTGGGAGGGCTTCCCGGGGGGCGGCGCTGTCTCCCTCCGCGGCGCTCACCTTGGCCCCGGGCTTCCCTGCAGAGCACCCCGTCTGGGAAGAGGTACAAGTTTGTGGCCACCGGACATGGAAAGTATGAGAAGGTGCTTGTGGACGAGGGCCCGGCGCCCTAGGCCCATCTGCTTGGTGAGTCCGCAGCAGCGGCCCGCGTGCGACGTGTTGTGGGTGAAATTTGCCGCCCTGGGCACCAGGTGGCCGGGGCCAGGAGGAGGCTCGTGAGGGCGGAGTGCCCCGCTCAGGGCGGGCCGGAGCCTGCCCCTCTGGCCCCCTGCCCACCCCCATCCTTCTGGGGTCCTGCCCCGCTCCCCCTGACAAAGCTCGGGCTCCCTCCTGGGAGGAGCCATGATGCCGTCTGCGCCACTTGGGCAGGGGAGGCCTTCCCGGGCACTGCAGGGCGAGCGTGGCCAGAAGGGGAGTCCTGGAGTCTCGGTCCCCGCCGGTCAGTGGGCCGAGGGTCTCGGCGAGCCCTCTCTCTGGTCCCAGTGGGAGCTGCTCCTGTGGCTACCGCGCGCCCCATCGCCTGGTGGAGGCAGAAAGCCGACGGCGGCGTGGTCATGCACACTTTTATTAGTGGCCTGGGTCCCGGGATCCATGTACAGCACCGGCACGTCCCGCTGCCAACCGCCTCCTTCCCTGCTGAGTCCTGCCCGCCACACCTCCGTGTTTCTCTCCCACTGCTGGTCAGAGCCCCAGCGCTGGTCCTGAGTCAGACCCCGTCTGAGGGCACGGTGGGGGCCCCCTTCCCCACCAGTCCAGGCCTTGGCTGGACCTTGCCCACTGGGCCGGGCTGTTCTCCCCCAGTCTCCTCATCCAGCCTCGACGCTGAGACACCCCCTCCCACCCCGTCTCATCAGCAAGTGCCCCCCCGAGCTTGGCCCTCAGTCCAGGGGGAGCAGAAGCCACAGCAAAGGGCAGCAGTGAGGGGCTGGCTCACCACCCCCACCCCGGGGCTCAGCCTGCTCCTAGCGCTGGCCAGGGCCCTGTCCTCGGGCGGCACGGCAGTCCAGCCGCCAGGGCAGCCCACGGAGGCAACCCCGCCCGAGCCCCCAGCCACTGCCCGCCCCCACGGAGACACAAGTCTCCCCCGCTTTCTCGGCAGAAGGGGGCGGCCCCAGAGTCCTCCTTGTCCTGGCACATGTCAGGACTCACCACCCAGAGCTCCCGGGATTCAACCCGGCCCTGCTTCCTGGAGCCGGGCAGACCCTCCCTAGCAGCCACAGCCCCTCAAGCCCCACGGGTGACCGCCCCTGCAGCCCCTGCCCCAAGCTCCGTGCAGACGCCCAGGTTGGCCCTGCCCTGTGAGGTTACTCAGACAACCCTGACCTCGAGGTGGCCTCCTGAACTGTCTGCCTCCCCAGAGGTTCACCCCAAAAGCCCCCACACTCAGACCTCTCTCTGCCCCTCCGCACCATCCAAACCCGCTTCCTGGCTACCCCCTCCTCCTGCCGTGGTGCTTCCTGCTCCCGTCTGCCCCAGCGCCCCTCCGGACCCCCAGGCCACCAGGCTCCCCTCTTGAACGGTTTCAGTTTCCCAGCTGGACGTTCAGCCCCTCTCGTCCACCCCACGGCCCTGGGGTCACCCAGCCGTTCAGTGGAGCCCCCAGCCAGCCGCCGTCCGGTTGAAGTTCTTGGGCTGGGGGTTCAGGACCAGGACCGGGGAGGTCACGGGAGGGGGTCGGGCGGCCACCTCCTGCAGCTTCCGGGCGTTGAAGCGAGGCCGATAAAGGAAAGGCAGGCGACTGAGGCCGGCCAGGGTGGGCGCCCCGGCTCCGGGCCCCGCCTGGCTGCCGCGGGACGCGGCCACAGACATGCGGTAGAGCACCGCATCCCACATCTTGGAGGCCCGGGAGGCAGGGGGCCGGGGCGCCGGGCCGGCGAGGGCGCTCCCGCCCTGGCCCACCTGCCCCGGGCTGGGCTCCGGCCCCGGGAACTGGAGCTCCTCCGGTTCCTCCAGCAGCTGCTGCTTCAGGCGCGTCCAGCCGCTGAGCTGGGGCCTGGCTGCGGCTCTGGGGGCCAGGCAGGGGTGGGGGCCTGCCGGCGGGGCAGGGGGCGAGGCCCCGCGGGGGCTGGAAACTCTCTCGGCCTCAGCAGGGCCAGCCGCGGGGGGCTCCTCCAGGCGCCCAGCTTCAAGGGTCCCAGAGGCTGGCCTGAAAGGTGAGGGCCCTGGCGAGCGGTAGGTGGGGGCGATGGGCACTACCACCCGGGTGCCAGCCTCCCTGGGCACCGAGGCCTGCAGGTTGTGGGGAGGCCTGGGCACTGGGGACACCGCAGGCCGGGGGCTGGCCACCCGCGTCGCAGTGGGCAGTGGGCGGATGTGGGCCACAGGGATCAGGGGCTGAGCCCCGGGAGGGCAGGGGGCAGTGTGCTGACCCTGTGGGGCTGCCAGGGGGGGCTCGGGGGTCCTGGCCTGTGGGGATGGCGCCAGCCGGACGTGCGCTTGGCTGACATGGCGGCCCCTCGCTGCAGGGGCCGAGACCTGGGCGAAGCCACTGGGGCACCGGGCGAGCTCCGGGGCTGGGGCTGCGAGCTGGGGGCCCGTGGCCCTGAAGTGGGAAGCCAGGCTCCTGCGCTGGGCGAGGCTGAAGGAGAACGTGGACCTCTGCGTGGGGGAGGCCACGTGGTGGATGATGACAGGTGTCGGGGGACAACGGGGCGTGGCAGCCACAGCCTGCAGGGCCTCAGCCGGACGCGGGGCCTCGGTGGGGTGCAGGGCATCGGCGGGACGTGGGGCCTCAGCCGGACGTGGGGCCTCTGCGGGACGCGGGGCCTCGGTGAGATGCAGGGCTTTAGCCGGACACGGGGCCTCCATGGGACGCGGGGCCTCCGTGGGACGCGGGGCCTCTGTGGGACGCGGACTCGGGGCCTCCTGGTCGTGGCTGGCCTCACTCACGGGAGACAGGGAGGTGCGGAAAGCCCCGGGTGGGGCGGTGGGCCCGCCCCCGCCCATCCTCTTCCGGGCCGCCTTCCTCAGCAGCTTCTGCAGGCGCAGGTTGTCTTTTCCCGGCTTGGGCAACAGAGGTGGTGGAGGTCCGGGGGGCCCCAGGCGGCATGGCCCAGCCATCCCAGGGGCCACGGAGGCGGCCGAGATGAGCATCGCTGCTCCCTGGGGCGGGAAGGAGGTGGCGGTGAGCTGAGTCGTCTGCCCGCAGGCCCCGTCCCTGAGGGGGGCACACAGCCCCCTCGTCTGCAGGGGGGCCCCCAGGTGCTCTGCTCCCTGAGGCAAGGTGCGCTTCAGATGGGAATGTTTGCAGCATCAATCAAGGGGGCGGCCCCGACATCACCCCCAGACTAGAAGTGAGCCCACTGCAGCCCAAGGTGCCTGGTGGGAGGCAGCAGGAGCCGGGCCTGGAGACCCACGGGCGGGCGCCAAGCGGGGGCACGTGCTGGGCTGGCCGCCCACAGAGGCAGGAGGGGTGGCCGCCCGCAAACGTGAGGGCCGCCTTGCCGTCGCCGGGCCAACCACAGGCGCGTCCGCTGCGAGCCGCGGCGAGGTGGCGGCCAGCGGCCAGGGAGGCAGGGGCAGCGTCCCGAGAGGTCGGCTGGCTGGGCTTAGGCGGGAGCCGCTCCCGCCGAGCTCCGGCTAAACGGGATGTTCCCGCAGGCCTCCCAGCGGGCTGGTCCCAGCCAAGCCGCCCACCCCGCTTTGTGGGCGCCACGTGCTCGCAGGGACGTTGACGGATGGCGGCTGGGCAGAGTGGGGGCTGCGGGCTGGAGAGGAGGGAGGCTGCGGCCGTGGGGCCGCTCCGTCAGGCAGGAGCTGGGGGGCCCAGGAGGGGGTCTGCTCCCAGCTGCTGCCTGCGACCGGGGGACCGGGACCTCCTCGGGAAGAGCGGGGTGCCCAGGCCAAGTCCCTCCACTCTGCGCCCTGAGCAGGGTCCAGGTGGCAGCGTCGGGAGCCAGCCTCCAGACCGCAGGGGGACCAGGGAGGCTGCTCCTGGTGGCCGGAGGGGTTGGATGGAGCCGGGTGGCCCCTGGGGAGAGGCGGCGGCCCTCCTGGGACTGCGCCTGACGCCCCCCGCCCACCTCCCTGTGTGTGTTTCAGCTTTCCCAGGAGCAGGGCACAGGCCAGCAGCACGTCCTGCCTCCGAGTCTGCACGCCTAGGGGAGATCCCGGCCAGATCCGCCCTCCCGCCCCCCCGAACCCGACCTTGCCGAAGAAGCTGCTTCTCACACCTGCTCTCGCCCCCCCGACCTTGGCAGCTCTTGCTGCGGGGCCTGTCGACCTTGCCCTCCGACGTGGCGCTCACTGCCCCCACAGTTCCGGGAGGAGAGGAACTCTGGCTGTTGGTTGGTAAAGGGACCCTCTCCAGAGAAGCCACAAGCTCCCAGGGAAGGTGCCGTCGGTGCTGGGAGCGGCCACATGCCGGAGTCTCCAGGTCAAGAGCCACAACCCCTGCCCTGCCCGCACTGTCCCCCCGCCCCTCGCTGTCGAGTAAAGCTCCCATGTGTCTCCACGTGCTGGCTCTCTGGGGCTCGCTGACGGGGTGGGGACGGAGCGCGGTGGTCTGGAAGGGCCATCGGCCCTGCCCAGTGGTGGGGTCCAAGCCTCTGCAGATTTGGACCCTGTCCTGCCCAGTGGCCTTCTGCGCATGAGGCTCTGGGGTCTGAGAGGCATGGTGGCCAAAGTCAGGGTGCACACTGGCTCAGTCCTCCTCTGGGACATCTGTGGCCCTCGCCCCCCAAAGTCTGCAGCCCCCGAGACTGTGAACATGTCGCTCTGTGCCCCTAAGCTGTGCGTTCTCTGAGGACGAAACCTTCCTTAGGGTCATCCTCATCCTGGTACCCAGGAGATTTGGTGGATGTGTGGATGATGAATGATGGACGGAGGGTTAAGATCCATGAACAGATGGAGGGATGGATGAATAGGTGGATGGAGGAATGGAGGAAGGAATGGATGGAAGGAGGGTTAAGGCTGATGGACAGATGGAGGGGTGGGGGAGGGAGGGAGAGTTAGGTGGATGGATGAATGGATGGATGGAGGGATAAGATTTATGGACAGATGGATAGAAGGAGGGAGGGAGAATGGATGGAGGGAGGGAGGAAGGTATAGAAGGATAGATGGATGAAGGGATGGATGGATGGATAGATGGATGGAAGGATGGATGGATGGATGGAGGGAGGGATGAAGAGATGGATGGATGGATGGATGGATGGATGGGGAGGGAGGGATGGATGGGTAGGCAGATGGATGGATGGATGGATGGATGGAGGGAGGGACAAGGTTGATGGACAGATGGATAGACGGAGGGAGAGATGGGTAGGCGGATGGACTGGTGTGGAAACAGCAAGAGAGGTGAGGCTCCCTTGGGTGACGGATTTGCGCCACGTGCACGGACAGGCCTGTGGCAGGGGCAGGCTGGGGCTGTCCTTCCGGCCCGTGTGCCCGCCCCCGGCCTGCACCCCCCTGCACCGCGGGGCCCTGCTGCCCTCTGTGTTGGGGGAGCCCCTTTGATGAGCAGGCCCCCGGGTCCTCTGGTGCCCCAGGCCTGGGTCTGCTCAGAGCCCGCTTTCTGAGGCCTCCTGAAGGGGAGCAGGAGTATGGGCGGGCCGGGGGTGCTAGAGACTGGGAACGACACACATGGTCTGTTGCCCGCGGCCCCTCCACGGGGGCGTCCAGGGCTGTGCCCGCCAGCTGGGGGGCATCTCCTAGGGAAGGAGGGCTTCTCGTCCACCCGACCGGACGGGACGTTAGCTGAGGGCCACAGGCAGAGGCAGCCCCTGGGCCACTGGGCCGCGAGTGGGGCCCCGAGGGCCGAGGTGTGGACGGGGCGGGGCAAAAGAAGCAGCCGGTCACTCAGCCCGCACCTGGCCCAGCCCCTCTCGGGGTCCTGGCCTCAGGGACAGGACTCCAGGGCCTGTTTTCTCTGTTACGGCAGCATTGAGCACCCGCCTTGCAGAACCTGGGGTCAGGGCCTGCCCACCACAGAGGTCAAGAGGCTCGGGGGCCACCGCCTGGGCTCTGGCGCTCTGCCCTGCGTCTTGACTGCCTCAGTGCCCCCCACCCCCAGGCAGCCCCCTGCTCCCCAGCTACAGGCGCGGACGCCAGCCCCACACAGCACAAACCAGTGACCCACTGCGGAGCCCGCAGAAGCACTCAGGGTGTGTGGTGGTGGCCACCCAGGCTGGGACGGGCTCACCCCAAAGTGCTGTGTCAGCGGCTTCTATCTGGGGCCTGGCAGAGCCTGAGCTCACGGGCTGGGCCGACTGGGAGCTCAGACCGGTGCTGGAGTGGGCGCCCAGGTCAGCTCAGGGCTGCCAGGCGCAGTTCAAGGTCTCTGGGCCCCGCCACCCCCAACCATGCACATGCGGGGGCCCCTGCCCTCCCCTGCCCCCTGGGCGTCAACCCTGCAGGAACCTGAGGGGGCGCCGCCCCCCCCCCCCACAGCCTCCTCCTGCTCCGTGGCTCAGCTCAGCTTTGCAGGCTTGAGAAGCCCACCCCAGCCCACCATACTCTGTCCCTAGGCCGAGGCCCTGCCCCATCAGCCCTCAAACTCTTCCTGGGGCTCAGGTCATTCCCTTGCTGCAGCCTCAGGCTGGGCCGCCCGGTCCGTGCCTCCAGCCCAGGTCCCCAGGCCCGGGGGAACCCAGCCCTGCCCCCTGCTCCCAGCCCAGCCCGGCACGCGGGGTGTGGATTACCTGTCACAGGCCCCGGGCAGCCGGCAGCCGGTCCAGCAGCACCCGCTCGATGCCGTCCTGCTGAACCCCGGGCTTGGCGCCCCGAGAGGGAGATCGCCGATACCCAAAATAAAACCTGCCGCGTCCCTCTGACCTCAGCGCCCGCTCTCTGGCAGTGCCCGCTCACGGGTGCACTCCTGCCAGGGCCACGGCCACTGAGCGGGCAGCCACCCTCCTCTGCTGGCCGAGCAGGGTCACTGCAGGGCCGAGGAGTGCCCCCCTGTGGGCAAAGATGCCCCAGGCCTGGGCGAGGTGTGGCCGGCTGCTCCGGGCACCGGCGGCCGGTGGGGCCGGACACACGTGAGCCCTGACTGTGCTCCCCCAGAGTCTCCCTGCATCCGTGTCCGGGAGGACTGGGTCACTGTCCGCAGAGCATGGGGTGCCCGCCTGAGAGGGGCCGTCAGCTCCCACCGTGGGGGGCAGACGGGGCAGGGGGTCACAGGAGGAGCCCGGGGCGCTCATGCGGATGTGTCTTTACGGCTGAGCCCGCTGGACATAGAGTTGGTCAGGTTATCCCAGGGTCAGCGCTGTGTGTGGCCTGTCCCAGGTCCTGGGCCGGAGGAGGGATTCAGAGACCCTGCGAGGGAGGCAGGACAGCCCGGCGCCTCTGGCTTCGGGGGCTCCCCACCCCCAGGAGCTCTGGGAGGGTGGACAGGATGGGGGCTCCATCCGCCCCTGGCTGAGGATGGCGGGCCCACCCTGCCTGTCTCGAGCCCCACGGCCTTATCTCCGGCTTGCAGAAATTGGATGAGGTGCTGAGGGAAACCTTCCAGAAGGCTCGGGGGGCCGGAGCAGGGCTCGGAGCCAGGGGGCTCCAGGGCTGGGGTGTGAGCGTGGCCGTCCTGACACCCCTGGCCCTCAGCCTTGGGAGGACGGGACCCTCATCCGAGTCTGCCGGGGACCACCCCCTGGCCTGGCCCCTGGCCCACCAGCCTCGGCTCTGGGTCAGGCCAGCATCCTTGGAGCAACCACGGCCCCACCGAGCCTCTCGGGTCTTTTGGGCCCCTCTCCCCTGCTCTGCATCTCAGCTTCCCTACCCGAGGGGCAGACTCAGAGGAGCGTGTGGCCTCAGTGGCCCACGAGGGGCCACGGGAGGCCGCAGGCGAGATGCCTGCCGATTGGATGCTGCCGCCTGGGGTCTGGTGAGAAGAGAAAGAGCGGGCTCCATGGGCCAGTGGCAGAGCCAGCCGTGGGCAGCATGCGGAGCCCAGCCTGTGGGCAGGGGGAGGCCCGCAGGGTCTGGACCCCGAGGTGGGAGCTCCCGGGCTAGCTGCAGAGGTGCAGCCCCCAGCACTGGGACCTGCCAGACCCCGCGCGGTCGGACGCGGGTTAGCATCTCGCTCGCCCGTGTACTCTGTGTGTCCCCAGCGCATCACCCAGGGAACCCGGTCTGGCCACTAAATGGGCTCCGACCCTCTGGGGGCCTGGCCGAGGCCTCACAGGCCCTCCATTCCCCGAGGGCGCAGAGACCGCAGGCCGCCCCCTCCGACGAGGAGGCTGGGTGGGCCCGGGGCCTGGCTGGACAGACAGCAGACCCCCTTCCTGGGCACCTCCTTGGAGGGAGGGGCAGCTGCTCGGGAAGTCAGAGCCCCAGCCCTGGGGGCTCCAGTCCAGCCAGGCCCAAGGAGAGTCCTTGGCTGCCTCCTCAGAGCCACCCAACACCTTCTTCACCCTCCTCGGCCCATCAAGAATGTGCCCGCTGTCGGGGGAGTAAAAATAGAAGCTGACGCTTGCGGGGGAGGAGGGCGCCCCCCACTCCTCGGACACGGCCCCCTCCTCTGGCTTCCTCTTCTATTGCTATACTTGGTCAGGGGCCTCGGGGCACGGCCCCTGCCCGTCTGCACGCGCCCGGCCACCCAGGCCCGGCCAATGGGCTGCCGGGCAAGATCGAGTGTCACTATAACTCGAGGTGCGCGGTCAGCGGGCAGTGCCTGAGCCGGTCCTGTCCACAGGGAGCTCCTGTCCGTCTCTCCAGACCCAGCTGCAGGTCAGTGGAACCACGGGCAGCCCCGGGCCTGGGCCAGCCTGCTGCGTGCTGGCAGTCTGGGGTCCCTGGACGTGGACACCGGGTCTTCCAACCTCTCAGCTCTAAGGACAGCATCTCAGAGATGCCAGGAAGCCGCCCCAGGGTCTCAAGGGTCTGGGATGTGAGCACTCCAGGGTCACATGCTCTGAACAATGGATGGGGAAGAAGCTGTTTCACACCCGAGCTCTGGGAGGATCAACAGGGAGCAAGAAGGGGGCCCCTGGAAGGCCCAGGGGGGTGGTCCCCGGGGAAGACAGCTAGAGAGAGCTGCGGATGTGCGGTGAAGAGGCCTGGAAGGGGCTCTGTCCGGGGCTGCAAGGCCACCCACTGCCGTGGGACCACTGCTGCCCACTTGGCCTTGGCCAGCGTTCCCTCAGAGGCTGAGGCTCTCGGCCCAGTGGCCACTGCCCCCAACGCCGCCGTCCGTAAAGATGAAACTGAGGGTGGGGCTTGTGTGACGCCCTGCAGAGCGGGTCTGTGCAAGGGGGTGGCCAGGACCCCAGCAGCCTGGGAGTGAGCATCCAGCGGTCCAGGCCAGGAGTGGACGGGATGGGGGCCGGGGCAGAGGGAGCAGCGGGCAGCCGGCATCTGTCCTGCCCACCCGCCTCGGCCTGGGCAGAGAAACACGTGCTCCCAGGAGGCCCGGCCTGAGCTCCCCAGCCCCTTCCCCCGCCCCCCCCCCCCAGCTTTCCTGTGCCCCCTGGGGCCGGGGCCCAGCCATCCTCCTGACGTCATGGGATGGGGCACCCTTGCTAGGCAGCAACCTTTCTGGCGCCCTCGACCATTCTGGGAGGAGACGGCTGGGGAGCCACGGCCACACGGGACGGCGGGGCCCCAGGGGTCATGGAAGAGGGTCAGGGTCCCACAGTGAGCGAGCGGCAGGGCCTCCTGGCTCCCCGCCCACACCCCCCCTTGTCACTTGGGAAGGAAGGAAGGAGGAGGGGTCCCCGAGGAGCAATGACCTCAGAGGCTGTTTGCACAATGGCCCCTCTGAGGGCAGGACATGAGATGGACAGCTGGCTTCCTTCTCGACAGTCTCAGTGCCACCCTGCCCCCAGGCGCAGCCCACCCCGGGCCCCTCCCTGCGGCAGGGGGTGGGGCGGGCACAGAGGAGCCACGGCAGGCATCGTCCCCAGGCCTTCACTGGGCGGAGGAGCAGGGGCTCCGAGGGCCCTCAGTTTCCCTGTTTGGAGGGTGGGCACCCTTCCCGGGGGTGCAGGGCAGAGTCCTCCGGCCCAGAAGACAAGAGGGCATGGAGGCCTGCAGGGGAGCTTACAGGAGGAGGGGGCGGTGGGCAGGCCAAGACCTGAGCCAGAGGCTCTTCTCAGCCCCCCTCCCTCCATCTTGGGTTTCTGGGCAGAGGTGTCTTGGCTAATCTGGGTGCCTATTTCTGGACGTCTCAGCTGCCACTGACTCCTTAAAAATAACCCACCCTGGGCTCCGGCCATGACCGCCCCCTCAAGGCGGTGACAGGTGTCAGGCGCTGCCAGGGGGAGAGGTGGGTACAGCCAGGGTGTGATGGCATCCTGGGTGGGGTGGGGGCCCACGGGGTGCCGTGGGAGCCGTGTGCTGGATGAAGCAGGAGGCTGTGACTTGAGGAGGCAGCAGGGCCCCAGGAAGGGAGAGCAGGCTTGGGAAGCGCTGCTCGGCTTCTTGGAGGGGGTTAGCAGAGATCCATCCGCTGGTTAATTTTGCATGGAGCTTAAATTGCTTTGGGAAAATTAACATTCTTGACAGAGGCTTCGGAAAACTGTTCCCACCTTAGCAATGCGATGTAAATGCATTTTTCGATGATGAACTTGTGTTTTTCTTATACAAAGCTCCCGGGGGGACCAGAACGATTGTCTTCAAGTGGGCTGTAGCGTTGTCATGAACTCTGTTTTTCAAAACCTCGGGCCAACATTCTGATGCAGCTGCCCCGCGCGTTCCCAGGCCCCGGCTGCCTCAGGCCTGCACGGGGGCCAGCTCACGGAGAGATGGTCCCCGAGCGTGCTGGCCCAGAGCCGGCCGCACCTGGACGCACGCAGCCAGGCCCGGGCAAGAGCTTCTTTGCAGACGTTGACAAATTCAAGAACATCTTTGGGGCCTGGGAAAGCAGGCTGAGGAGGAATGGGGCTGTTCGCTCGGTTCTCAGAGGGCGTGTGGGCCTGGCAGGGGCACCAGGCTGGGGAGGGGGGTGGCCACGTGGACACTCAGAAACAAACCAGACCCATCCCGTTGAGCTCAGGGCTCAGCCTGCTGGGGCAACGGGGAGAAGGGAGGGAATGGATGCCTCGTGCTCTCTTGTGATTTTGGAAAAGGGCTCCGCAGCGGGCCGTAAGGGACCCCAAGGAATCCCCGGGTGCCCCCATCAGAGGATGCAGCACCCTCATGGGAAACCATGAGTGGGAGAAAGGAGCGTGGCTCATTCCTGAGGAGCGGGCCTTGTGGGCACGGTATGCGGGAAGGCCAGGGAAGGTCCACGGTGCCCATTTTGAGGAGCCAAGCTCTGTAATTCAGAGGCTCCCTGGGAGCCCCCTCCCCTCCCGCCCCACTATCTAGACCCAAGAGCAGAGACCACCAAGAGGGATGTTTTGAGCAACCTCAGCAGGGCCTCGCGGGGGCCCGGAGCTGCCAGGAAGGGCCCCCCGCCCCGGCCCGCTCAGCCGCATGCTTTCTGGATGATCCTCCTTGGGGAACGCTGCAGAGAGCGTTTCAGCCCAGCCACCACCTCCCAGCTCCCGCCCAGCTCCAGGATTCCAGGCTGCAGGCCGGAGCCAGGTCCGGAAGGGGGGCGGAGGGGGATCGGATCTGGGGCGAAGAGGGCTGGGGGCCTGGGGCCTCGGAGGAAGCAAGGCAGCCTGCCGAGGAGGCCCCGCGCAGGCCCGGCCGGCCCAGGCCAGGGAGCTGGCCCTCGACCTCTGTGCAATGACGGCCCCCCACAGTCCGCTCGCTGAGCCCACCCCCACATTCCTGCAGCTCGAGGCCCAGGCAGCTCCTCACTCTCGCCCCGTCTCCCCCCAGCCCCCGCAGAAAGCACCCGGCCGCCATGTCGGACGAGGAAGTGTGAGTACCCGCCCGCTTCCGGACCCCTGGGCCTCGCGGCTCAGAGGCCAGAGGAGATCCGCCCCCACCCCGCCAAGAATCAACCCCTCACCCTTGCCCCTCTCCCCACAGTGAGCACGTGGAGGGTAAGTGTGGACGCCAGACCCTCTCTGCATCGGCTCTAGACAGAAAGCCCAGGTGGGACGGGGCCCTCCATCTGTGGCCAGCGCCTCGCCCGGGAGGCCCCCGGGAAGCCACAGGCGTGTGGACGCCCCTCTGCAAAAGGGCCCCCACCCCTGCCCCAGCGCCTCTTCTCAAAGGACAGGTCCCTAGCCCAGCCCGTGGACACCCTGCCCCGTGACACCCTGCTTGCAGGGTGGGGAGCATGCTCCCATTGCAGGACCAGGCCTTCGAGGCCCAGACCCTTGCTCACGAGCCTCGGCCTCTTCGCCATGCTCCCCTGACAGCGGGCGCCAGGCAGGCTGGCCCCCGCCTCTGTCCAGGCTGGCCCCCGCCACCCTCTAACCACTTCCTCTCCTTTGTTCTGCCCCCTTGCAGAGGAGTACGAGGAGGAAGGTAATGGAGGCGCCCCCCAGGCCCCCCCAGCTCACCCATTAACCGTCCACCTCCGTGGCCATTAATCCCCACCCCCCGCACCCCTAACAGCCACCTCTTCCCTCCGTCGAGAGGTGCTCATTGATTGCTCATTAATGCTTCTGCATCATTGTGCATCATTTACACATGATAACCTCACGGCATCCCTGGTGTGTGCGGTCAGCTGGAGTTTGGTCATGAAGACACTCGCCTCATTAATAGCAAGTCTGGTGTGCCGCCCACCGTCCCTCACTCCCTGATCCCTCTCTGTCTCTCTTTGTCTCTCTATCTCTGTCTCTCTGTCTCCATTTCTCTATCTCCACCTCTTCCAGCCTCTCCCCCTCTCCCTCTCTCTGGGAGCAGGGACCCCCAGGTGGGTCAGGAGACCCCTCCCGGCAGGCGCAGAGCCCAGCCCCAGGAAGGGTGTGCAGGGTGGTCTGCAGGCTCGACAGGCGCCCCTGGGCCCCACTCAGCCGCGGCCAGGCTCTCCCGAGCTCCGCTGGGCCGGCTCTCCTGTGGGCTGTTCTGGGCGCTAGGTTTTGAAAATATTTTGAAAACACTAGGCTACCCTAACAACGTGAGCAAAGCTCTTCTTTTTTCTGCTGAAAAGGTGGAGAGACTTCTTTCTGAGAGGAAAGCATGGTCCCAGGCGGTGCCTTCCCAGGGGGTCGATGGGGCGCGTTGGCAGGTCCCGTGAGTGGGCTCCTCCAATGCCTGCCTCTGCCACGGGGCCCCCCGAGGATGCCAGCCCACACCCATCCAGGTTTTCCCCTAACACCTGTCCCCACCTCCGGTACCTTCAGGGCCAGGTTACTTAGCGACGCAGAGACACCTCAGTCCACTCCCCGAGGACAGGGGAGGGCGGGACCCCCAGGACCCAGAGCAGGCTGCGCCGCAGAGGCTCTGCGGGTCCGCGATGCCCGCCAGCCTCCCTGGTGCCCGCTGCCCCCACCCGGGGAGCCTCCCTTCCCGGCCGCCCCACGCTCGGCCCACTAACGACTGTCCTGTTCCGTCTCTCCCTCCTGCTCCCCCCGGTTGCCACCACAGAAGAGGCCCAGGAGGAAGGTAAGTGGGGTCCAAGACCCCGGCCCCCAGCCACCCCCCAGCCCTCTGTCCCGTGACCCCGACCCTCACGCGACCCCGCGTGCCCCACCCTCTAAGGGCGTGCAGTGCGCTCCCGGCCTAACCTCTCGTCTCTCCTTCGGCCCTGCTCACCCAGCGCCCCCCCCGCCTGCAGAAGTCCCTGAGGTCCACGAGGAAGGTACGCGGACGCAGGACTTCTGATCCCCATGTGGGGCCCGGGGCTGGCTGCTGCACAGTGGGCGGGGGGGGGGCGGTGAGGTGCCAGCCAGCCGAGGGGCCCCCACATGCGGCCGCCCCGTAACCCACTAACCACGGCCGATGCTTGACCTGAGCGGGCCGGCCCCCCGAGGGCCAGCACTACGCCCCCAACATGGGCCCGGCCACCCCCTAGCCCAGGGAGGGCAGGTCAGCAGGGAGACTGCTGCACCACATGAGACCTAGCTGCCCCGGGGGCATCCCTGAAGCCAGCCTCCTGCCCCAGGGTGGGCACCTGAGAGTCCCCGGCACCTGGCCCCTCCACAGGGGTCTCAGGGAGCCCAGGGCGATGGTGGAACGGCCCCTGCGGTCTGTGCCCCCGCCAGGCAGCAGTGCCCCCCATGGGCCCCCTCCAGCCCTGCCCCCGGGAGCTCCCTCCCGGGTCAGGGGCGGGACTGGGCAGTGGGAGGGTAGGGAAACCTGGGGTTGGCGCAGTGGTCAGGGCAGCTGAGAACTGGTACCCAACACCCAGGCTGCTCCGTGGGCGCAGAGAGAGAAGGCAGCGGGCGCCCTGGCCTTGGGCCAGTAGGAAGCGTCCCTTCCGGGCCCCGGGGGCCACCCTCCAGGCCACGGCCCTGCCCCTGTGGAAGTCCTCGGGGGCCTGAAGGAGACGGGAAGCGGCGGCGGGGGCGGCCAAGCGAGGCAGGACCCCAGTGGCCCCTCAAGCAGCAGGGGTGTCCCGAGAGAAGCGAAGCCCGGCGTGCAGGCAGGGACAGGACTGGGGGGCGCTGCCCTGGCCGACATTGACCTTGTCTCGCTCACTCCCCACACGCTTCCCACCCCCCCGGCCTCGGCCACTGGCCCTCCTGTGGCGACCGGCTGTTTCCATTAACCCGGGATCCTTGCTCCTTTGACCTCTGACCCGCGTGTTGCCTCTTGCTCCATGGCCCTCCTTAGTCCATGAAGCTCATGAACCAGGTATGTGCCATGGCTCCAGCCCCGTGTGGGCGTGTGCACACGGGGTGTGTGTGGGTGTGAGCCGCAGCCTGGCCGACCAGGAGCAAGAGGGGCCACGTAACCCACTCACCTGCTTGCCCGCCGCCCGCCCCCCCGTCTGCCCGAGGTTCACAGTGGTTTTCTCTCCCCCCCCCACGGTGCCGCTTCTACAGAGGAAGTCCAGGAAGGTAGGCCCCCCCACGCTGAAGCCTGAGCTCCGCCGCTCCCGCCTGACTCTCCCTGCCACCGTCCCGAGGGCTGGGCAGGGGGTGGGACGCTTAGGCCGGGGATGGGGAGGGTGGCTGTGTGTCAGACAGCCCACAGGCAGCGAGCATTCGGGGCTGAGGGGGTGAGGCCCCGCCTGGGTTGACACAGGAAGGTGGGGTGGCCAGCCTCAAAGGGCCTCAAAGAGGGGCGCTGGGAGGATGGCACTGGGGTCCACTGGGACCCACCAGGCTGGGTGGAGAAGCGCAGGGGGAGAGGCAGGGCCCCAGACAGCAAGGAAGGCAGAGCGGAGAAGT